GTGGGCAGACAGACCTGCTCCAGCAGCCCTTTGCTCTAGCTTGCAAGAAAAAGCATCCTTCATTGTCATCTGCTCAGACAAGGAATATAAAGATGGTCTCCAGCTGCTACCAGGAGGAATCAGGAATGTAAAAATGGAAGCCTATCGGTCTGATAGACTAACATGAACAAATGATGGGTTGTCCTTCTGGACAACTACATGCAAGCAAAGCACTATGATTTTTCTGTGATTTCTGCCATTAAGACCTGTCTACAAAATTTATAGAAAGCAAAACCCAGAGAGACTGTCCGATGTATTTTTTCTTCTTCTGAGTTACATCCTCTAATCATTGCTCAGCTCCACCCTATCCTAACAGACTTCATCTTCTTCATTCCTCTTGGGTGGGAGGGCAGAGGGTTCAGATTCTGTACAGATTATAGGCTAATTCTCAGAGGTTTGGCAGGAGAAATCACACTAAGCCAAGTCCAGACTTTGGATTCACGCCAAGCCAGCACATCAGAGCCTGCCTGGCTTTTTTCCCACCCCAGTCTAATTCTGGCAGCCACACCAGCAGCTAAAAAAGAATCTTGCAGTGCCAGTGTCCCAAAAGCAAGGTACCAATTGCTGGAAAGGGGCTCTGCGATGGCTATTTCTAAAAGTCAACCTGGCAGCTGCCCAGGAAGCAAATCAAGACTAAAACAACTCTCCTCCCCAAATCCTGCAGACTTTATCTCTGCATATTAAAAAAAAAAAAAACCAAACCCAAACAGAATTAGCATTTCATATATCCCCACCCTTTTCACAGTGATGTAAACAGTCTCATTCAATGAAATACCTGGTGCCTTGACCCAACCATTTCAAGAACCACTTGGGGGAGGAGGAGAAACTATGTTACTACAAGCCAAAATTGCTTTTCTCTCCCCACAAAGGGCAACTCAGGATTGGCATCTCTAGATGTTGTAAATCAAGAGCCTACGGGTTCAGAAACTGACTAACGGGGAGCCTAGGTCAGCTAAAGGCTAAATATTCCTTTGGTTAAGAGTTTGGTTAATTGGTGTGGACTTGTCGGTAGTTGTTGACAAGCAATGGGGAGGTCCAATGCAGGAGGCCAAAGACTGGGGTAGAAAGACTAGGCATGTTGGACTCTCTTGAATAGCTGGACCTGGCTATCCACTTGAGACCAGTAAACACCTGGGTGCCCCAGTTGGAACCTGCTATGCTGGTTAGAACAGCGGCAGCCATGACCGAGAACTGGGGGCAAGACTGTCCTTTGAGAGGAATGGATGCAAAGGAAAGGATACCCTAAAGGGAATAACTAGCAAAATCAAAGGGGAAACAAAAAGGAAGGGAGGTCATAGCAAAGTCCCCTGACCATCACGCCCCGCAGAATACTTGTCCTGCACGGACGCCCCCCTCCCCGCAGGCGCAGTGCACCAGAGGCGCTCCAAAACCGAAGCCAGGGGCATTTCACTCCCTGCCACCCCCCGCTCCTGACTCCTTACCTGCCCACTGTCTGGTTGGCCAGCTGCCGCATGCGGTTGAATTGCTTCTTCATGGTTGCGCCCTTGGCCGGAGAGCGCAGTGGCCGGCAGGCAGGCAGGCAGGCAGGCGGGCGGGCGGGCTCCGGATCGAAGGAGGTGGGAGGATCGGTAACTATCCCGGGTTGGGAAAGGCGGAGGAAGGCGGTTACATGGCCCCTTCTTCTGCAGAGTAGAAAGCGAAGGGGGACTCTAGCACTGCAGCAACGGCGGGAAAGGAGGAGGGCAGCCGCCGGCCAGCAACAGCGCAGCCTCCTGCATCCTCCCGGTGCGCAGCGGCGTCACTTTCTCTCTCTCTCTCAAGAAGCGCAGCCGCCGCGGAGCGAGCACGCCCGATCGGCCCCGAAGCCTTTCGCGCTCGCGCCTGGCCTATACCGAGCTGCTCGTGCTGCGCTCCTATCCCGGCTCTTCCCCTCTTTCTCATCGGCGCCAGTCCGATTTTCTGCGCTTCTCTAACACCGGGCGGGGAGGGTGGGTGGGTGGGGTGGGGGGAGTAACGGCTCGCACTGCGGCTGCCCAGCCTGGGGCGCTGGGAACTGTAGTTTCTGCCCCCCCCTTTCCCCCCCTTCTGTCCGCCTCTTTCTGACGTGTGATGGACGAGGGCGCTGCGGAGCACTTCGAAGCCGCTGACTCCGGCCGAGGCAAGAAAGGAAGCAATGGTGAGCATCGCTGCTACGGCGTCTGGCTGGCCGAAGAGCGGGGATTTCCGTCAAGAAGCGCAGGAAGTCTTGGATTGAGGCGAGCGTTGCCGTCGGGAAGGAATATAGCAAGTTAAGCCTTTTGGGAGCAGGGACGTCTTCACTCTCTTCTCCTTGACCCGCAAATAGGGTGGGCAGTTTGGAAACAAAAGAAAGTTTGGCGCTGGATGGATCCATACTTCGGGGTAATTGCCACAAGGTGGCCACAGGATTTCTTCCCTCTAGCCTCCCCCACAAAGGCTGCTTATTGTGACGGTGGTGTCGGTGGTACCTCACATCTGGAGGTATCCTTTGGAAGGAGGTAGATGGCGTAACATCTGGGTCGCTTTTCTGAGTGATGCTGCTTATCTGGATCCACTTCGTTCGGGCTGCAGGTCTGGGAATGGGAAATGCCCATCCGTCCTGCTAACCGTTGTTCTTAGTACATTCAAATTACTGTGTTATTATAGCCTTTCGTGTTGTGGACCACTCTGATAACCCTAAACATTCGCTGGAGCAAAGACTTAGCAAGCTCTTAGGGGAATTACTCTCCTCCCACTGCTGCCAAACCTTCCACAAGTAGAGAGCTCTAAAGGGTACAAGACCAGCCCTAAAGCCCACTCAGTCCTAACACAAGCCCAAACCCACCCACCATCCAGGGCAATTTGGTAATTTGTTTTTGGACAGAATTACATGTTGCTCATTTCGTGCTTTCTGGCTAGGCCCCCAAACTTTCCATCTTCTCTCTCTTGGCTGGGTTTTATTCACCTTCTAGCTAAAATTCATTGGGTGATTCTCTTTGAACCACCCACATTTTCTAGCTTTTCATCCTCTACACTGGCAGCTGATGCTGGCATGATTTGCTGACATCCTCAACCATCTTTACTTCCTGTTCAGGAGTGGTTTTTCTGCTAGTGTTGGTGGGACTTTCCCACTCAGAGGTGTTTTCAGGGAAGGTCATACAAACCAATAGGTGCAATTGGAGAATCAAAGCCTTGCCCCTTTTAAATGCAGGCAATGCATGTAGCACATGTTAAAAAGGGATCTGCCCTACACTATTCAGATATTGATGATCCATCCTGGGGATGTCCCTGCTCCCTGCCATGCTGGTTCCAAATGCTTTTGCTATCTCTGGATAGCAAGGATCTTGTTTTGATATCTTTCATATTACCATTTAGTTTTTTTCCTCTCTTGCACCACCTTCACTGCAAATACTGGGCTGTATGTATTCATTTACATATAATGAAAATTTATAGAGCTGCCTGCTTGTCAAAGACTCTGGGCAGCATACAAGGATTTTTTTTTTAAACAGATTTTTAAATCCCTAATAATAAATGTTCATCAGAGATCAGGAATTCCGTCTATAAATCCTACCAATAAACTAGGACTGCTGCTTCATGTTTTTCTTCCTGTAGAAGAAAGGCATCTAACCAGGTAGTAAAGACTTCCATTTTATAGTTGAAGATCACTGAATTTGGACCAAGCAACAATTGATTTTGGGCAAAAAAGGCATAGAAGGAAAACGAAGCAGGAAGGAAATCATAATGTGAAGCCAAAAAAGTTCATGGAGCCATAGGAAGTTAATTGTCAAGGAACTGGATAAGTTCCTATAATGGTATGTTAATTGTTTCTATAAGTTGTAAAGTTTATTATTTTACAACTATTTGAACTTGTGGGCAAATGTATCAAAATGTTGATGCAAAGTACATTTCTCATAATCAACAGAAGTACTAGCCTGTGTTTTTTGGGGGAGAGGGGGGAAGAGCAGGGGTGGGATTCAGATCTCTTAACAACTGGTTCTGTGGGTGTGGCCTAATTTATGGGTGTGGCTTGGTCATGTGACTGTGTGGGTGTGGCTTGTATGCAAATATTATAAATATTGATGTAAATATTGATTTTTTTATAAAAAAGAGCAACTTTTACCCAAAAGCAAGCAAAGCAGTCAGGCAGACTGAGTTGCTCACAGAATCACAGATTACATTAGAAATCTATCCATCTGCAATCGGCTACCTAAGTCTGCACTGAAAAGCTTCAGTCCTAAGGAAGGTTCGACTCTGCTTTTAGATTAGCTAGAAAGCAAGAAATCCAAGGATTTCCTGCTTTCTACCTAATCTATATCTCCTGGCAGAACAGAACAGCTAATGGTCGGGAGGAAAAAAAGGAAAACTAGCAACTTACCAAACCAGGCAAGTTGGATGGCTCGTATGCCAGGTAAGGAGTGAGTGGGGGCGGGGGGGTGTCAGCCAGTGGAGCGATTTGCCGGGTCTCCAAATTGAGGACAATTGTATGTGCAGAGTTTGCAAGAAATCATCAGCTGTGCTGCCTGGACAGCTGACAAGTGCTGCGCTCAGGTGCGCAGCATTTGAAAATCCTCTTGTTTCCTGCTTTTTCGAATCTCAGCTGTGCCACGCAAAGTAGCTGAGGAGGGAAAAGCAGGGAATAAAGGACAGCCTAGAGCCCGGGAAGGTGGGTGGGCCAAACACCGAACTGGTTCGGTGTCAGGTGCTCTTCGCAGCTACATGTTCTATAGAACCGGGCCGAACCAGTAGCATCCCACCCCTGGGAAAGAGATGTGTCCTGGAAAATCCTTCATAAATGCTCAGCTCTAAACAGATGCCATTTGGCTAATATCACTGTCGGGTTTCTTAATTGAAATAGATATGTGGCTCAAGAGATGGGGAGGTGCAGTGAAAAGCCCCAGGGGTAAACCTTAATGGTGGCATCTGAGAATTGCTGCTGTAAAATTAAGGACAATAATAAAGATTTTTTTTAAAAAAAATGTCGACCCAGAAAGAAGCAGATGCATCCCATGTGATATACAGGTAAGGAAGTCATTGTATCTCAATCTTTTAGTAATACATATGAACAGAAATGTCTGGGCTAAACACTTTCAATAGAGGAAGAGAGGAAGGATCCCTAAACTTGTGTGGATAATCTTTTCTTTAAAAAAAAAAACAAGCACAGAGAAAAGTAAGGGACCTGCATTTCAGTTTGTTTGTTTCTGTTTCAGAATCTGCCTATATATTTGTGGAATGGGTAAGGTATCCATAGGCTCAAAGTCATGCTGTGTCATTACATTGGTTAGCTATCCTGGCTTTGCAGAGACATTCTTGGAGGCAGCAAAGGATAAAAGAAGGATAAAAGCAAAATTACAACATAAGTCCCGTTTTTTTTTGCATGTGTCATGATGTTACATACATGCCTGAAAGAGACAAAATGTATGCCATGATGCTTTTGTTATTCATGGGAACCTTAAATCTACCAAGATTTCCCTCTCTCTTCCATCTCTGAAATTGTTTGGAAGGTAAATCCTGATACTGCTTCTTCTACAAAGACAATCGCCTCATTTTTTTTAATGTTTTCAATCTGAATTGAAGCCACAATGCCTCCTCCAAAAATCTGTACCTTTCTGCAAATGTTAGACATCTGAGTTTGAAGAGGGGGACACAGATTATATTGGAACAAGCTGTGGCAAGGATAACTCTCTCTTAACTTTGTGTCCATTGAGTTTATCATATGTTTTGCCACTATTATAAACTGGTTTCATACTGGTTGCAGGTAGTCACATATTAGAATGCATTTTATTAGCAGCAGGAGATGTCTCATATATATCCCAAAGTGTCAGGACTCAACATTTCAAATTTCCAACTCTTTGGTTCTCCAATGCAATTGAAATATTCCACTACCACATATTACCAGTAAATTAACACTCAGCCTGTTTAAACCCCTCCAGCAAAGGAGATTTCACCAGCTTTTGAGTTACAGGTAGAGCTTGACTTACAACCATTTGTTAGTGACCATTCAAAGTTACAGTTGCGCTGAAAAACGTTACTTACAACTTACATTTAAAATCATTGCAGCATCCCCATGGTCATGTGATCAAACCAGCATTATTTATGATGGTTGCAGTCACCTAGGGTCATATGATTACCATTTTCAACCTTCCCAACTGGCTTACAATAAGCAAAGTTAATAGGAGAAGTAGGATTCAGTTAACGAATAGTTTTCACTTAAAAACTGCAGTGATTTGCTAAACAATCATGGCAAAAAAGGTTGTAAAATTGGGTGTATCATTGCTTAGCAATGAAAATTTGGATCCCAACTATTCTGGTAAATTGCCTGCCTGTAGTGTGTTCCGTTACTGAACAGCTCTTTCAAGATTTTGTTTTCCCTGATATCTAACCAAAATCTAGTTCTTTGTCATTTAAACCATTTAAACAATGACAGCCCATTATGCAAACAACAGTCTCCCCACAATCTTCTCTTCTATAGGTTAAACATACCCAATGTTTCTAACCGTGTCTGTAATTTTTCCCCTTTCAGGACTTTTATCTCGACCGCTAACTTCTGGATATGGGTGAGGTCAAGTTAGTCAATGTTCTTTCCAAACACAGTGCCCAGTATTGGAAATAATATTTTAGAAGTGATGAGCCAAACATAGAATGGAGAGAAGTATACGGTACCACTGTTGATGCAACTACAACATAATGTTGACTTATGTTTAGTGTGCAATCCATCACAATACTCAGGTCTTTTCACATGTACTGCTAGGCAATATGCTCCAAAATCATGCTTTTGGTATTTCTATAACTAGATGCAGTACTTTGCATATTAACCCATGATGACATTTATCTTATTGGTTTCCATTCACTGGTTGTGCTTGTCAAGTTCTTCCTGCAATTTGATATTGTTTTCTCAAGTACTTGCTAACCCCCCTGCCCCCCCCATCTCTTTCCCTTCAGCAAACATTTAGCCCTATTTTAAAAGCTCTCATCCAAGTAATTTATAAATACATAGGATAGCACAGGGACTAGAGTGGAGTATTACAACGTGCCATTTATCACCTCCTCCCACTGACAGAGTCGTTAATATATAGTCAGTGGGTACAATTGTTCAGTCAGCTCTATATCTGTCTAATGGTTGCACTGTCCAGCCCACACTATGCTATCTTTGACTTAAATCGCATGGAAGAGTTTGTCAAATGCTTTGCTGAAGTCAAGACACATTATGTCTACCACATTGCTCTATCAACAAAGAAGAGTTAAATCTGAAATCGACATCAGTTTCCTGGTTCCTTAAAAAAAAAGAGAGATAGGAACAACATTTGCTCTTCTTCAGCTCTCTAGCACTACTCCCATGTTCTATGAATTATTAGAGATAATAGAAAGGTCTCCACAATAACATCCCTAACATTCTTGGATATAATTGACCTGGCCTGGAAATTTTATACTTGTTCATAATAATCAGGAACACATAAATCATCTTGAGTTGATTTAATTGGTACATCTGTACACTACTAAAAGTATATTTGATACTTTGTGCCTGTTTGATACTTTGACAATTTGGTGAAATTGGAAAGTGTACATTTTTTTTTATTGAACCAAAGCAAACTCAAATGATCTCCCTTAGGCCCCATGATTCCTGCAGAAATGAAATTTGGAAAAGTTGTAGCTGTTTCAGTGTCCCCATGCCTTTGATTACACTTCTTATAAAACCCATAGGCTGTGTGTCACAAGTGATGAGAGAACTGTATCCCCACCCTTTTTCCCACCTCCCTCTGTCCCTATGCCTTATTGGCTGATGGCAAGTCTGATGGATGAACATCCATTGGTTGCTTTGGAACCAAGGACAAAATTTAAACAATACAGCCAGTGGGGGAAAGATGAGGGAATAATTTGGATGTCTGTTGGCAAGGTAAAACTGGTTGGGGAGCACCTGTGACCAATGGGAAAGCCCTCTTCCTCCCTACAAGGGGCCATTGGGGACATGCTGGAGTTGAAAGCAGGAATATAGTTTTCCTCAGAATCCACAGCTCCCTTTATTCATCCACATCCCAAGCAAACTGGCGGAGAGTTCTGTAGGTCAGCCAAGGAGGAGAATGAGAAGGCATCACCAGGACTCTGAGGGTTTTGAGGGAAAGAAAAAGGTGCCAACCTATATTATATATACAAAGAAGAATGAACCAATTGATGAAGGATTGTCTAATGAACTATAGCTCTGTTGTGCACCATGCAAAAGTATTTGTTTGTGAAATGGTAAGCTATATAAATTGGTTTAATAAATAATAAAATAAATAAAATAAGCCTTTTACCTTCTATCTCTGCTGAGATTCATGTGTTCATAGATCTTTTTGAAGAAAAGAGTAAGCAAAATAGAAGCTGAGGAGCATTTCCTCTGCCTGTCACCTGTTATTATCTGTCTTCTCCATGATGTAGATCAAGTCTTGCTCTTCTTTCTCTTATTGACAGTCAAAAGAGAATACATTCAACGTGAAAGAAAATACGTGAGAGGTATGTTCCTTATATATTTACCTGTTCTGACTATCTTTCTACAGATATTATTTCCTTGCTGAGATGCTGCTTTGGCCATTATACCCATTGTTCATTTCCTAAAGCTGTCCCTTTTAATTATTGGCTCATTTAAAATCTGCCTTCACATGTACAATGGTACCAATAAAAGACAAGCTCAGGGTTGAAATGAAGGGTCCTTGGTGAACTTGCTTGTTTTCCTGCAGATGTTTCATTTAGCTACTAGCACTGATGATGTCACCTAATTTGGGTAATGAAACAAGCAAGCTCAGAGTGCACCAAGGAACCCTCATCTACAATGGTTTCCAATCATTCCAGACCATCTTGGACAAATGGTTGTCTAATCTTGTCTTGAAAACCTCCAGCAATGGACCACTTACAACTCCAGTTGGCAAGCTATTCCACTGATAAATTGTTCTCTCTGTCAGGAAATTCCCCCTTAATTCCTGCATCTCCTTTTGAGGAGTTTCCAATCATTACTTCTTGTCCCACCCTCAGGTGCTATGAAGAATAAATCAATGGCTTCTTCCTTTCAACATCTCTTTAAATCGGGGGTGGTATTCTACAAGTTCAGCCTGGCTCGGCCGAACCAATCACCTGTGAGCGAACTGCTTCCCGTGGCACAGTGGATTACCATGCATCAGCTGTTCAACACACAGGGAGAGGGTAGGGTTGCAGGAGTAGGTCAGTATCAAACCCCCCATCTGTGCTCAAAGCACGCATTTAATGTGCATGTGTCTCTCTCTGCCCCTCCCTCTCTTTCCCTCCCCAACTCTCCCTCCCTCTCGCTCCCTCTCTCTCTTTCTCTCTCCCCCTCTCCCCACTCTCTTTCCCCCCTCTGTCTTTCTTTCTCTTTCTATCCCTCCCTCTCTTTCCCCCTCCCTCTCTGTCTCTCTCCCTCTCTCCCTCTCCGACTCTCTCTGTCTCTCTCTCTTTCTCTCTCTCTGTCTCATCTATCTATCCCTTCCTCCAGGGATGGGATACGACAGGGTTAACTACCAGTTTGGTGATTTATGATGTGCTTTCCTGCACGCTGCATGTGCCTGTAAATCATCATCAGCTCCTGCATGCAGAGAAGCAGCCTTTGAAACAGCCCTCTTTTCCTGCTTTTTTAATCGCAGCTGTGCCTCTCACAGCAGCTGAAGTTGAAAAATCAGGAAAGAAAGGTCAAGTAAGAACCTGGGTGGGCAGGTGGGCAAAAACATCAGCAGAGATAGAACTGGTTCTATGTCTGCTTCTCTTCAGAGCTACTGGTTCTACAGAGGTGGACAGAACTGGTAGAAACCCAACCCTGCCTTCCTCCCTCCAATTATTTTCCCCCAAATCACTGTTAATATATTTTCTAAATGACCACTAGATGGTAGCAAAGAATTGGTTTCTTTCAACTGCAACTCAATTGCAGCATACATATTCTTGGAACAAGAGTTCAAGAAAGTGGTGTAGTGTGCATGAAAAAAGGGTCACCTGTGGAAGGCTGTGAGATGCACCCACATAAAGTTTTCAAAATGTTCACTGACCTGTCACAGTGCTGCTCTGAGAGTGAGATGGGTGGAATCTCTGAATTTAATAAACAAACAAACAAATTGACGTCATCATCATTTTAGCCATTGTCTATCCGCTTGCAGGATGAAGGCCTCTTCTGCATGTTTCTAATCAATATGGAATTGAGCTTTCTTTTGCCAATTGGGCTGGCAATACTTGCTGACACTGTTGCTCCATCTTGTTTTAGGTTTTATGGACTCTTGTGGACACTTTTTATCAAGTGGGATCCATTCTATAGCTGCCTTAGTTCACCTGCCATCAGTTTTTCTTGCTATCTGACCAGCCCATTTCCATTTTAATTCTTTTACTCTCATGGTGATATCATATTGATCTATTAGCTACTAAGTTGAAGTAAAATATTTTAATCTTAAATTATGTAGCTTTTAATGTTTCATTATATTTATTAGATTGTACAGCTCCTAGAGCCCCTCAGTGAGGGAGATGGGCAGTTAAGAAGTGTGATATATGTATGTAAATAAAGGTTTTTCTGTCCCTTTCGGCAGGTATCTAGAAGTCATCTAGATTCGTTTATTCAAGGCATAGCTGTTGGATAAATATTGAGCAGAAGAACAACACAGAAGAAGTAGAGTTTGCGAAAATATTACTGATATCAAATCACAGCATATATGCTATACACCCCATATTATGCAAAAGGAGAGGAGAGAAATAAAATGTATGTGAAAATCATAGCTGTACCAGATATAGTGATTTTTTTAAACAAGAACATTCTGTAAGGGGAGGATGTGAGTAACCTGCCACACAGAAGCAAAAGAGCCCAACTCTTTTTAGTTACACTTTCAATTACTTCTGTTTAGTTACGGATTGGTTACTCAAGTTCAGGGCTTATTGCTGTCTAGGGTCATCAATCATTTAATCTGCAAAGAGAAGAGAAGAGAAGAGAAGAGAAGAAGTGGTTCAATAGCATAGATCTCATAGCCACCTCAAGCCTTCTCCTCCATGTGTCGCTGATACTCTGGATAGGAGATCTTCCATATTCCCCAGGGAAGCAGTTTTCATGCAGAGCAGCCTGGACTCGATTCAGATTGCTTCAGCAATGGGCTGCTTATGATATGGAGGCTTTACTATGAGGACATGTCCTCAGAAAATGTATGCGAGGTACTTTCACATTGCAACAGTAGGCTACATGGATGAGTACGCATTCGCAGTTCCTCCCCAATAATTGGTATTCATTATTTCTGGGCTTCTTTCTCTCCCCTGCTTCCCAAAATGCCTCTCATTGTTCTCAGCCTTTTTAAGTCATTGTCCATGTCTTGCCAGAAGTCCTTCAACATAGAAATGAACCCCATGGTTCAAGAAACACACTTTCCATTGGCACCATCTGCCTAGCTAGTTATTACCTTACAATATTCTCTTTCTTTCTGATATATGTTCTTTGACAAATAAGGAGTAAAAGAAACAGCATCTATTTCTCCAGCTTCTTCACTTCCTTCCCAGATCTTTATTATTACTATTTATAATATCTTCAAGAACATTTCTGGTTGAGCAGATCAGGAGACAAGGATGACTGTCCATGGGTTTAAGGAATTTGGGGAGTTCAAGGTGATGGCACATAAGGATTTATCTAATATTTCCACAGTAACAATCCTTTGAAATAAAATGGTTTGAGAGAGCATGATGTGCTTATAGTCACTCAGTGAATGCTGTGGTTAAGTTTTCAGCTTGTGTTCCCCTCCAAGTCCCATGGTACCTGCAACAACCCAAAATGATTCCATCATGCACATTCTGAGATTGAATCTCTGAATATACATTCTGAGGTGAGAATGTACTGTGAGTCTCAGCATTTGCTTAATTGTCACATATATTTCATGAGACTGGAAACTTTTTACCTTTATATTTCACCCCTTGCCTCCCTTGCGTACTCTGCAGTTATTGAGATCTAATATTATTTTTTCTCTCTATCTAGTCTCTTTTTTCTCTTCTCATTTTTCATGCATTTCTGGTTTTTTTCTATTGCTTAGTTTATTTTTTTCCAAACAGTTCTCTTGATATAGCTCAGTCCCTCAAACATATGGTATATAATAGCTCTTATGGTATGCAGCTCAATTTTTCTTCCACCATGAACCAGTAGGTGGCAGAAAAAAACAGCAAAAAGTCATTTTCTGTATGTTTGGAGATTGGTTATCTAGCTCATGGTTGTCCCAAAGGTGTTTTTTTCAAGGGGCAACTGACCTTTCTGCTTTTTCTTTGAGCTGAAGAAGCTTCTTGGATGAGAAGCAAAATGTCTTCAAAGAAAAATTAGAAAGTCCAATTGCCTCTTGAAAATGCATCTTTCGGTCATTTTCTGTATTTCGCTTTTTAATTCTAGGAAGCCACACTCTTTCTTCAAACTAGGAAGGCTCAGATGTTTTTCATTTACAGTACAGACTGAAGAAACCATACTGCCAATCCTTTATATTCCCTTTTAGATTATTGACCTTCCTTCCTTCCTTCCTTCCTTCCTTCCTTCCTTCCTTCCTTCCTTCCTTCCTTCCTTCCTTCCTTCCTTCCTTCCTTCCTTCCTCCCTCCCTCCCTCCCTCCCTCCCTCCCTTCCTTCCTTCCTTCCTTCCTTCCTTCCTTCCTTCCTTCCGACACTTGTGGTCTTCTAGGTATTGTAGACTATCAGTAAGTTGTAGGGTGAATATTTTAGGCTTGGACCAGGAAGCCTCAGGTTCAAATCCAATTCAACCACAGAACTCACTGAATGGGATGTCTTTGGGCAGTCACTCTCTCCCGGTCCAAGAATGTCTATAGTAAGAATATAATCAGGGAAGCCAGTCCTTCTCACAAAGCTACTTTAGGCTAGAGATAGAATATAAATACACTAAACAACAAGAACAATTAACAGCATGCTTCAACACTACTCACGCTGGCTGGGACAAAGGCTAAGAACTCTCAACAGGAAAGTGAATAAAGTAAACAAATGTTATTTTTGAATGCTTCACTCTTCAGAATAGCAGCTTTCTATCTGTCTGCCAGTCCATCACCCATCTATTTCTTTAAAGTACGAGGGTTATCCACAAAATAGATTACGTTTTCGTCTGTAGCAAGAAGGGGTGGAGCTAGCACGGCCATCTT